TCATATCAAGGGATGCTAAGTACAGCTATGCAGCTACTAATGACTGTATGAATTCTAAAGCTACAGATTGACCTCAGTAAATGCTAGATATACATTTTGTGTAGAAGGGAATATTTTTAAATCCACAAGAAAAAAATGTAGCATAAACAGAATTGCCAGTGAAGATAAATAGTCTTTGATAAACTTACAGTTCTAAATTCCCCTTGCATTTGTTTCTTTGAGGATAAGGTTGCTATTTCTCACAGAGGGTTTTATATTTCTGTCTTGCAAAAAAAAATAGTGCTTCTGCTAAGGTCTGCCTTGCAATTACTCTCTATTGCTCTTGTTGCCTCTCCCATTATACCTGCACTGTGAGCCTCTCTAGAAGGCAGAAAACAATGTTTCTCAAGAATAAAATGTGAACTGAATGAGTTTTCAATTGGACTGTGCTAGACTAGTACCCATGTGTTAAACCTACATAACCTTGTTCAATATGATGGGATTAGACTGCCATTTAGAAACTATTATGTTAGTTCACATAGGGTGTGTCTAGACTACAGGGTTTTGTCGACAAAGCTATACCTGGGTCTACACTACTGCTGAGTTATGTTGACATAACGTCGACAGAACTTGGCAGTTTTGTTGATGGCGATAAACCTCATTCAAAGAGGAATAACACCTTTTTGTTGACAGAGTTCTGTCGACAGAAGGCATTATTGCTTCTACACTGTCCTTTGCATCTACACTCTCATGTCGACAAAGCACCTTGCTTTGTCGACAGAACTGGATGTAGTCTAGATGCTCTTTGTAGACAGAAGCTTTGTCGACAGTATCTGTCAACAGAGCCTCTATTGACAAAAGTCTGTAGTCTAGATGTACCCATACAGTGATTTGATTTGAAAATCTTATATCGGGGTCTTTCTTAGAAGTCCCTCTTCCATATGTATAGTCCAATTGCCCCAGGTGCTGAATGCTTTTTTAGGCTACATCTACACTATAGCGTAGATCAACACTCTGAGATTAATCCACCAGTGGTCGTTTTAGTGGGTCTAGGTAAGACCTGCCAAAATGACCACATATTCCTCTCTGGTGTTACTCTACCCCAAATGATAATGGTAAGGGAAGTTGATAGGAGAGTTTCTCTCATCAACCTCCCACAATATAGAAACTGTGGTAACTTGACCTGAGGTATGTTGACCCGAGATATGTTTTTCACATAGCTAGAGTTGTGTAGGTTAAGTTGACTTTTGTTGTAGTGTAGATGTAGTGTTAGATATGTTAAATATTATAATCTCCCATTAATGTCAACAGTGTTCTTTGTATATAAATTGCATCTAAAATCATTTCATAGAATCAGTTTTAGATCATGCTTAACATGTTTAGTACAGAAAAACTCTATTGGTCTAACTTAACAAACAATGAATAGCCTAGCAATACCTTAAAGACTAACAAAACATGTGGATGGTGTCATGAGTTTTTGTGGGTACAACCCACTTCTTCAGATGAATGGAGTATTAAAAGTCCAGGTCCAAAATAAATAGGGGATTGTGGTCAGGGGGTGGGGGGCGGAAGGGAAAATAGTGAATTAGAGGGTTCCTGTTACATGTCACAAGTACCCATTGTTTGTTTTTTTAAGTCATTAGTATGTGGAAGGTAGTGTGCTAGCCAGGTAATGTCTTTATTCATACATTTGTGGTGGGTACCAAACCTGTAAATGAAGTTAAATTCCAACACTTCCCTATGTATTTGGCTTGCGGAATTGGCCTGAAACAACACCGTGTCTTTGAGATCCATTAATGAGTGTCTGGGCAGGTTAAAGTGTTCTCCAGCAGGTTTCTCTGTGTTGCCTTTTTGGATATCTGATTTGTGTCCATTACTTCTTTCCCGTAGAGACTGTCCAGTTTGGCCAATATACATGGCAGTGGGGCATTGCTGGCATAGATCACATTAGTGGATGTGCAGTTAAATGAGCTGCTGATATGGTTGGGTCCAGTGATGAAATCGCTTGTGTAGATGTGTGGGCAGAATTGGCACCGTGGCTGATTGCAGGGGTGTGTTCCTGGATGACTATGATGGAGGTGTCCTGCATGGTACTGGAAAGAATTTGTTTGTGATTGGGGGGTTGTCTGCAAGTGAGGACTGACCTTTCCCCCAAGGCCAGTGAGACTGAGGAGTCATTTCCCAGGATAGGTTGTAGATTGTTCATAATGTATTGGAGGGGTTTACGTTGTGGGCTGTAGGTGATGAGAAGTGGAATTCTGTTGTTTTCTCTTCAAACCATTAAAAGTCCAGGTCCAAAATAAATAGGGGATTGTGGTCAGGGGGTGGGGGGCGGAAGGGAAAATAGTGAATTAGAGGGTTCCTGTTACATGTCACAAGTACCCATTGTTTGTTTTTTTAAGTCATTAGTATGTGGAAGGTAGTGTGCTAGCCAGGTAATGTCTTTATTCATACATTTGTGGTGGGTACCAAACCTGTAAATGAAGTTAAATTCCAACACTTCCCTATGTATTTGGCTTGCGGAATTGGCCTGAAACAACACCGTGTCTTTGAGATCCATTAATGAGTGTCTGGGCAGGTTAAAGTGTTCTCCAGCAGGTTTCTCTGTGTTGCCTTTTTGGATATCTGATTTGTGTCCATTACTTCTTTCCCGTAGAGACTGTCCAGTTTGGCCAATATACATGGCAGTGGGGCATTGCTGGCATAGATCACATTAGTGGATGTGCAGTTAAATGAGCTGCTGATATGGTTGGGTCCAGTGATGAAATCGCTTGTGTAGATGTGTGGGCAGAATTGGCACCGTGGCTGATTGCAGGGGTGTGTTCCTGGATGACTATGATGGAGGTGTCCTGCATGGTACTGGAAAGAATTTGTTTGTGATTGGGGGGTTGTCTGCAAGTGAGGACTGACCTTTCCCCCAAGGCCAGTGAGACTGAGGAGTCATTTCCCAGGATAGGTTGTAGATTGTTCATAATGTATTGGAGGGGTTTACGTTGTGGGCTGTAGGTGATGAGAAGTGGAATTCTGTTGTTTTCTCTTCAAACCTCTCCTATTTATTTTGGAACTGGACTTTTAATACTCCATTCATCTGAAGAAGTGGGTTGTACCCACAAAAGCTCATAATACCATCTACATGTTTTGTTAGTCTTTAAGGTGCTGCTAGACTATTAGTCATTTTTCTAAGTTTTTCCAGTTACAGACTAACTCATCTAATTGAATCTATTGGCCTGGTTAACTGACATTTAAAAGCAGATGGAGATAGCTAGGTACACTCATTCATTTAATAGTAGACTCATCCATTTAATTAAATGAACCTCTTAAGACTGAAAAATGTTTCAGGATTCCACTTACAAGCATGCAAAATTGACATGTTCTTCCACTACCCTCCTTCTCTCCTCCCCAATCATTCCAAGTATGTCTACAGTGCAGAGGGTTTTTTTTGAAAAACAGCTGTTTTTCTGAAAATTTTCACTTATGTCCACACTGCAATCACATTCTTTTGGAAAAAAAATGGAAAGAACAGAGATATTTTTCTGGCATGGGTAAACCTCTTTCTAGGAGGAAGAAGCCTTTTTCTGAAAGAGTTCTTACGGAAAAAGGCATGTGTGGACAGGGAAGAGGAAGTTCTTTCAAAAGAAGACGACCCTAGTGGCCACTCTGTCCATAATAATCACAGTTTAAATGTGATATAGCATCCATTCAGTGTGGTTGCTATCTTTCGAAAAAGCAGACAACTTTTTCGATGCACTTTTGCAGTGTGGACACTCTCTTTAGGAAGAAATTTTTTCAGAAGATCTCTTCTGGAAAAGCTTCTTCTGAAAGAAGCCTGCAGTCTAGACATAGCTGTAAAGTTACTCCCCTAAACTTTGTCTGTATGAAAAGCCAAAACAAATGCCATTCAGAGTGCATTGTGAAGCTCTTCATTATATGATAGTCCCTTGCTTACATACTTTGTTTTGCTGTGAGATTAACAGAACAATTTAATCTACGCTGTCTACCGTTTAGGTAGATATTACTGGTTGAATTTTGTTATTTTAGAAAGGGATGAAGACTTCTTAATTTTCCATTCTGAGTGCCCATCACAGAAATGATTGACTTAGCCAACTGGGCTGTTCACTTGATTCTGAAATGTATAAAACTTGTGCACATACTTTAAAATGTATATGGCATCCTGCACGACTTTACAAAATCAAACATAAGCTTTTCAAAACAGACAAATAAATAAAAAATAGATTTAGGATAAACTTTTCAAAAGTTCCTGATTGACTCAGATTGCATCTTACTAAATGGGTCTTTGCCCATGAAAGCTTATGCTCCAACACTTCAGTTAGTCTATAAGGTGCCACAGGACTCCTCGCCGCTTTTGATTGACTTAAAAGGTGCCACAGGACTCTTCGCCGCTTTTGATTGACTTAGGAACCTAAGTTACATTTTCAAGAATGAGTTAGCCCAATGTTTTGACAATATTATCTCTACACAATATTGTCAAAATCCAAAAAGTTTTCTTTCTTTCTCAACACTCATTTCAATCAGTCATACTTCTTGAGAATACTTTTGTGAGATGTGTACAACACTAAATTAACTCTGAACAGATAACCAGGAATTCAGAAGGCCATTTTAATTTCTAAATAATGTTACCTTGTATATTGTATACACTAGGAGATTTTGCTCAGAGTCCTGCCAAAACTCAAATTTCAAATGAATCCTTTCAAATAGCATGAGGTTCCAAGAGGCATTATGTTTTTTATGGAAAATATAGTGTTGTTGAAGTATATTTTGTGGCTTTGTAAAAAATGAAGTGCCAATCAGAAGACTTCATGGATGTTATCTGGCCTAAAACTTTAATAACAGGTGTTCCTTGCAGACTTTCAATAGCGAGATTCTGATACAGCTGGCAGCTTTGGCTTTTTACAGCATTTAAATTTGGCTTTCATAGTAACGGAGTAGAGCACACCATCCTAGCATGATAGAATAGTTACAATAGAAAGAGCATCCTTATTTCAGTAATTGGATATCTAGCACTTATTCAGATAAAATAGCAGGCATCCAGTCTAAATATGCTAAGCAGATAAGAAAGTGAACTACAGGACACAATAGTGGCTTACTGAAATCTTCTGACAAACCCTATTTTATTTTTCTCCCTGAATAAATCCATGCAGTAACCCCCTCTGTAATCATTTATTCATGCAATCCTATTGTCTGTTATCCAAACATTAATTACTACTCATTAAGTCACTGTAAACAGTGAAAATTTAAAAAAAAAAGATTTAAAAAAAGACATCAGGACTTTCACTGAGAAATTTCTATTTAACGTGGGTTTAGTTTACTTAGAGCATGCCTCATTCAAGCATATTATAGGGCTGATAGGCCCATTATTAAGGTTGCCTGATGCTATTATAAGGCTTTGTTTTCAGTTTCTTATAACTTTTTAGCCAAACTTTTACAATTTGAGCTGAAATATATCTTCTCAACATCTACCTCAGTTTGAATTATTTGGGAAGATCTTTGCCAAAACAGTTTTGCTGATTCTGAAAATGAGTCTACATGCTTTTAAATAGGCCACTACCTGTGACTTTGGGTATCTAATTAATGTTTAAAATCTGACCTTATGTGTCACTTTTGAAAATGAGAATTAAGTACTTTTGAAAATCCTAACTAAGGGTATGCTTTGGAAACCAAAATGGAGTGGTTTTCTTATAAAATTCTTAGTCTGTCAATTTTCATTGTTTCCATGGGTGGGGCCTCACATCAGAATTGGGTTTTTAGGAAAAACAAGAAGAGGTTGGAGGCAGGACTGTATTAGGAAATCAATCCATGAAGTGAATGCATGTAAGGCAGCAGGAAAAAGGGAGCATCGAGAAGAAATAAAGGCTATGTCAACACTGGCATTTGATTAACAAAGTTTTTGTCATTCATGGGTTCTTAACCTGAATGATATAAGTTTTACGAAAGCAAGTGCAAGTGTGAAGGCTGCTAATGAATCAATGAATGGCCATATAGCATTTCTGTGATTAGAGAGGTTTTTTGGTGTGTTAAGAATTATTATCAGTATTAATATCCACGTTTTTGTGTACCCAAGAAACTTATTTTTTAATAAGTTGAATATATGTCCTGAGATTTTATTGCCACCTATATTTATTGTAACAGAAATGTTGTTGTTGACCATGATTCTTTTGAAATGACAGAAAAAAAGAGTTCATTTCAAACCTAAAGTATAAACTTTTACTTTTTCTTTTGCTCAGGCCCCTACTCTGTCATACATAAATCAGTGGAATATGAAAGAACTAGTAAAAGTGACTGTATCCTTCTGGGGCTGTAATTTGGCTCCATGAATTATTAATTATTCAACCAGTATAGCATCAGCTCTTCAGAACTCAATATAAATGTAAAAGGCTCACCTTATCAGTCATAATCTAAGAAGCAGCAGTAATGTAATTCTTACCATTTAGCACTTTGTGGTATGTTGAAAAGGAATAGGATATTAGACCATTTAAACTTTTTGAAATGTAACACAAATTAAGGAAGTATTTTTCTTACCTCTGTGAAATACTGTAAAAAGAGAAGAATGAGCATGGATTTCTCAAGGTTTTTGGACTTGTTCAAGTGATGAAGCTGTTTCATTTGTGAGAGAGTCTGTGGTTGAAGGAAATTATCTGAAAATAAAGAGTTGATACTGCTTGTAGCCACAGCACTGGTAAGACAAAAAGAGAAAAATATATATTAAGTCTTGAAATTAGGATAAAGCGAATGAGAGTACAAAGACATCTGACACTGTAAGTAAAATTTTCCTCTAGAAGAAATATAGTTATCTTCGTTTTTACATACAATATTAGAAGCATGTGCTGTCCTTAATTTTGTTCATTGTTACTTAATAGAGGTTTAAAATATGGTCGTTCTTGTATATATCATCCATGTAATATTTAAGCAGTCTCAGAAGAAATTAGAATTTAAAACCCTTCATTCTTTCTTATAAAATTATATTTGCATAGGACACTTACAGATGTATCAAAATCGTGTCCTTTTTAAACATAACCTACCTTTGATAGTGTCAGTCTGAGTGAAATAGCTAATAATAAATTCTCAGCTTCAACATTTAACATGGATTTGGGTAAGATGTAACTATGCCATTTTTTATATTGTCAGGTGAGAACTAACATTTTATTCAAAAATTTAAATGTTTTGTAAATATTTTTTCTTCACATATGAAGGATAATTTGTTATAAATAAACAACTAAAGAGATTTTCACATGTAAAATATTATAGTATTGCCTCGTTTTAAAATATGTTTTAATTTTAATAGAATATAGAAATGGAATTAATGAAAAATTGGATCTTTTTTTAGTACCTACAACTCTTTAATCACCATAGCAGTATAAAATGTACATATGGCGACATTATAGTCAAATTCTAATGTGAAATTTTAACAGGGACAGCTGAAAGAATATAGCACATTTTATAGTTAGTACCATTTGTACCTTATTTTAAAAAAATGCTTCCATCTGTTGACTCAAGCAATTCAGACATTATTAAAGGAGTAGTTCAGGGTGGTGAAGAAAGTGCATATAAAATTGTTTCTCAGAAAATTAATTACTCTATACAAGATTTCAAAGGAAATAAGCAAGCTCCTACACTAATTATGGATTTTTCCGTGATTACATAGAATGGTGAATCATTTGGTACATGATACCATACTGGGAGGAAAAAATAGAAAATAATTTTTTAATCTTGTTAATTTTTTCTGACTTACTGTTATCCTCCAACTGTTTCTGAGAGTGTAGTGCCTGAAAAAAGAACTGATTTCCTGCCGGGAAATATAAGAACATTATTAATATCCATATTGCTAAAATATCTCTATTAAAAAGATATTTTTTCAACATAAGCAAACCTGCTGACTTGATCTAGGTATCACAGAATTTGGTTTACCATCTGCAATCCCTAAAGCCCTGTCAGGTGCCTTGCTGCAATTTAGTATCATCTTAGAAGTGCCCCCTTCAGAAAATACTTCTTTCTGGAGTTCCATTTTCGTGCTGGAAATGTTAAATCAACCATTCCTTTACATTATTCCTAGAACTACTGCCATTGTTTCATCATGGCAAGTTTAAGAGAGAGAGAAAGCCCTGCAAGTATAGGCAGCTGGTCTTTTATAGCTCTGCATCTATAATAATTAAAGTTGTTCTGTAAAGTATCCATGTTTGGACCACATGCAAGCAAATAAACATGGATGACATACACATGCTGCAATAATTACACATGCAATTTACAAAATAGAACAGTGAATGTCTTACATCAGACATAACCATTGCATTAAATCAGCAGTTCTCAACTTTTCAGTGCTAAGAGTCCCCTTTACCTTAAAAGGACACCTACTCCCATTTAATCTGGACTTAGATGAGACCCCTCTGTGATTTTGCAACCTTGGAAGGGCAGAATAGTTGTGGCTCCTAGCATTTGTACATGAGCATCTAGTCTGAGGATCCCTGTCTTCCAGAGCTTTAGTTGCAAGCAGTCTGTAGATTTGGTGGACATATCTACATCGGTTTAGGTTTAGGTCATGTTTTCAACACCCAAGTGAAGAATGACTGCATTAGTTCTTTCATAATTGATCTTTACAGCACCCCATGTGTGATCCTTATACGTTTGTTCATGTGGAGCATATTCCTTCCGTAGAGTTAATCTGTGTGCAACCTGTTCTAACTGAAATCAAATCTGTCCCGTTTACTTCCATAGGAGTTGCTTTCATTTATGTCAGGGCTGACTTTGAATGTCAGTTACCACTGTGGTTGGAAGAAGATTAAATTAGTCCTTTGTCCATGCATACTATGAAATGCTGCCTGTGGAATTGTGAGAAGATTAAATTAGTCCTTTGTCCATGCATTCTATGAAATGCTGCCTGCGGAAATGTAGAAGAAGTTCTGATGTTTGCTTTGCTCAGGCTGTGAAGCAGAAGGTTTTTCTTTCATTACTAACTCACCACATAATTGTGCTGTGGTGAGGCACAACCTGTTAAAATAACTACTGCATTTTATTTCCGCTATAGGCAGTGGAAAAGGGTGTTTCATTAATTATAAAATCTTTCTAGGCAAGGTGCATTTGTATGCAGGGTGCTGAATAATTTAATGTGGCAAAGGTAATTAGGAATGATTTCTTCATGGAGTTAAACTTTTTTTATTATATCAATTTCCACTATGTTAAAAAGTCTTGAGGGGCATACAATGTGTGATCAGAATATTGTGTCCTAAACAGCAGACCAGTTCTTCAGCTACTTCCAAATTAGCAGGTCTCACTTGTTCACTTGCAGCTTATATCTCCCATTAGCCATTCCGAACACCTTCACATTTATATCAAAGTCAGATCAAGGAAATCAAAATGTTATAGGAGCAGATCACTTTTTTCTTTTCATAGAATCATAGAATAATAGGACTGGAAGGGACCTCAAGAGGTCATCGAGTCCAGCCCCCCGCCCTCAAGGCAGGTCCAAGCTCCGTCTACACCATCCCTGACAGATGTCTATCTAACCTGTTCTTAAATATCTCCAGAGAGGGAGATTCCACCAATGTATTTTGGTATATACTTTCATTCCCTGTCTTTGATTCTATTCCTGGTGAAACAAAAATACCTGCATGGTATCGCTGTTTCCACTGTTTTATATCTAAGTGCGGTTGCATGCCTACAGCCATTTCACAATGCTTGTACAGGCATGAAGCAGGCTAGCCAGAGCACTTCAAGAGGGTCTGTTTCATGCCTGACATAATTCTGCAGCCATCACACTACTCTGAGTATGAAAGCATGAAACTATCCTGCTACAGCACCCAAAAAAATCCTTCTTCATACCTCTCTGAATTCAGCTCCTATATTTCCCTTGTGTATCTGCAGTACTGTATCTCCAATATCCCTGAAGATGAAAAGAGAGGCCAGAGTGTTGCTATGATTGGATCTCATTCACTCTTACTCAGAATGATAGAAGGTTCCTTCTGTCAGGCAGTTCTATACTGTGGGAAAAACCCTGCTCTTATTGACTCACTTGAGTAAACCTGGTGAGTTGGGTGTACTCACTCAGGGTGAAAACTAAGGCCAAATTTGGCTTTTAGACTAGAGGAGCATTTCAAATTCTTCTTCGTGCTTTAGGTACCTGGGTTAGTGGATCACATAATATTATTAGTATTTGCGTGGGCAAAGTTAGACATCCAGGGTGTGTTACAGATGCAAGAAGAAATTAAATTGCTGTATTTTAAAAGACAGTTTCAGTGGGTTCTCTTAGATGCTTTTGGGATCTTTTAAGCCCAGACTAAATCCCATTTTCAAAACACATTATAATTTAGAGTAATAGATTCCAAGGCCAGAAAGGGACCTTTATGATCATCTAATTTGATCTCCTATATAACACATGCCATGGAATTCCCCCCCCCCCCCAAATTCCTAGCATATATCTTTTAGAAAAACATTCAGTCTTGATTTCAAAACGGTCCATTATAGAGAATCCACCCTGTCCTTGGTAAATTGTTCCAGTGGTTAACTTCCTTCAATGTAAAAAATGTACACTGTGTTTCCATTCTGAATTTATCTTGCTGTGACTTCTAGCCTTTGGATCATGTTGCACCTTTCTCTGCTGTATGGAAGCACCTTAAATACTAGCTCTTCCTGTAGATCCTTTTAGACTTTAATGAATCCCTTAATCTTAATCTTCTCTTTTTTAAGCTACATAAGTTGAGCTCTTTGACTCTATCAATGTATGGAAGATTTTCTAACCCTTTAATCATTCTCGGGACCTTCTCTGAACCATTACCAGTGTACCAACGTCCTTGTTGAATTGGATGAGTTCCAGAATTGGACACAAGAAGCTGTCACACTACTGCCAAATACAGAGGTACTCTACTCCTACTCAAGATTCCCCTGTTTACTGGTATTCCTGGTAATTTTGGTACTCCTCAGATGCAACTTGAGATTCACATGTTGTGCATCCCAGATTTGCAGTAGCTTGTTTGGCCACAGTGTCACATTGAGAGTTCATGTCCTGCTGATTGTCCACTGTGACCCCAAAATCTTCTTGAGAGTCACTGCTTCCTAGGAGAGAGGTCCCCCATTCTGTAAGAATCACATACATTCTTTGTCCCTTGTCAAAGAGGGGTGGGATAGCTCAGTGGTTTGAGCATTGGACTGCTAAACCCAGGATTGTGAGTTCAGTCCACTGGGGCCATTTAGGGGTCCGGGGCAAATCTGTCAGGGATGGTACTTGGTCCTGCTGTAAAGGCAGGGGACTGGACTCAACTGGATGACCTTTCAAGGCCCCTTCCAGTTCTATGAGATAGGTATATCTCCATATTATTATTATTATATATGTAGCCATAGTAAAATGCATATTCTCTGTGCCAAGTTCACTAGCTCATGCCAAATCAGTGACGTGTTCTCTTCATTATTTACCACTTCCGCGATTCTTCTGTCATCTGCCATCTTTACCAGGGATGATTTTATCTTTTCTTCCACATCATTAATACAAATGTTAAATAGCACAGGGACAAAAACTGAGTCCTGTGCAACTGGGAAGACACCCATGCAATGGTGATTTCCTATTCAGTTACATTCTTGAGACCTATCACTTAGCCAATTTTTAATCCACGTTATGTGTGCCATGTTAATTTCATATCATTCTAGTTTTAAATAAAAATATCAGGTGGCTCCAAGTAAAATTCCTTAAAGAAGCTTAACTATATTACGTCTGCTCTACTACCATTACCGACCGTCTTAGATAATCCCATAACGAAAATCAGGTTAGTGAGATAGAGTCTATTTTCCATAGACACATGTTGATTCGCATTAATTACATTACCTTCCTTTAATTTTTTGTTTATCAAATGCTGTATCAACTGTTCCCATTATCTTCCCTCGGACTGATATCAGGCTGACATGCCTATTACCTATGTTACCCAATTTCCCCTTTTTAAAAATGGGCACAGTATTAGCTTTCTTCCAGTCTTCTGGAACTCCCCCCTGCTCATTGAAAACCAACATTAACCAATCCTTTAAGCTCCCATGTATAAAATTTAAAAATATCTACCTTTAGAAGCTTCTGTTTCACATCCTCCGGATACCAGTGGAAAGGAAAGTTAGCCATAATCATCACCGTATGATGAGAATATGTAATTTGCTTTTCTTCCAAATTCATATCAACACACACACAGTTTCATTAAATGTGACTCTCAAAATGTACAACATAGAGTGTAACTTCTGTTTTCAACAGCTAGGCATTATTGCTTGATCAACTACACTTCTCTTCTTGAATATCTGTATATATTAATAAAATATTGTGTAGGTGGTTCAAAACAGATTTCCCCTAGCTTTCTCCTCCTCGGTCCTCTTAAAGCGGAGGTGGGGAACCTTCTTTGGATTGGGGGCTGCTAACACACAGAAACATCTGTTGGGGGTTGCACAAAAATGAGAAGCAAAAAAAAACCCTGCCTCATGGATGTGGGAGGTGGGGCCAAAAATGAGGGGTTCAGTGTATGGGAGGGACTGCTGGGAAGCAAGCGTAGGGTCTAGATGGGAGGGAGGGTGCAGAAGTGGGTTGAGGATTGGTTATCTGGCAGGGCAGTAGAATAAAGCAGCAGGCTGAGGGTGGGAGAGCTGAGTGGAAGATAGGGTGCAGGCCAATCAGAGAGGAAGGAAAAAACCTCTAGGCACTGCTTTATTGCACTGCTATTTCCCCAGCCGGGGAGAAGAGGCCACCTCATACCGGCTTGCCTGACTCTGTCCTGTAAGGGTCGGAGCTTCTTTCCCCCTGCAGCAGAGAGCTGCAGCTGGTATTCC